GGTGCCTCAATCATGGCACGAGAACTCTGCTGCTGCGACTGAGCACCCACTAACCTCGGACAAGCCCTCCGGATATGACCGTACTCACCACACTCTAAACATCCATCTGAATACTGCGGCTGGGGAAACTGAGACTGACCCTTGCGGGCTGGCTGACCACGACAATAGCTCTAGAGAGGAGGTGCTCTGATAGGAGCTGGCGGTGCACTATGAGCTGGCTGCCCTAAAGGAGGTACATACGGACCACGACTCACTGAAGCTCCATGGGATACCTGAAGCGCTGAATGAAATGGCCTGGGATGGTGGCCTCTACTAAAAGAATCCCTGCCTCTAGACGAGGCACCACTGAACCTCAAAAATGATGTGGCCTCTTGTCAGACCCCTGACCACTACCCTGAGCTAAAACCATCTCGACTCGTCTGGCCACATTGGCTCATCCTGGAAGGAAATCTCACTCCCTGTCTCCTTAGCCATCTGCAATCTGACAGGCTGAGCGAGTCCCTCAATGAATCTCCTCACCCTCTCTCTCTCTCTCTGGGAAGTATAAGAAGAGCATGACGATCCAAGTCAATAAATTTGGTCTCGTACTGAGTATCGATCATAGAACCCTGTTGAAGACGCTCAAACTACCTCCGATAGTCCTCTCTCTGAGTGAAAGGAAGAAAATTCTCTAGAAATAGCTGAGAAAACTGATCCCAAGTCAAAGCAGGCGACCCGGCTGGTCTAGCCAAACAGAAATCCCTCCACCATTTCTTGGCGTAACCTGATAAGCGAAAAGCAGCTAAGTCGACCCCATTGGTCTTCACTATCCCCATGTTCCGGAGAACCTCATGGCAATTGTCCAAATATTCTTGGGGATCCTCTGAAGATTACCGCCATAGGTAGTAGTGAAAAGTTTGGTGAACCTGTCTAACCTCCATAAAGCATCTGTAGACATAGCTTCTCCATCACCGATCTGAGCCACAACATCCGGCGGGACTACCCCAACTGGCTGAGCTGCTGGAGTCTGAAACTGGGGAGCCATCTGCTCCGATGTGTGAGTAGCGGGAGTCTGTGCTCCTCCCCCAGCACGAGAGATGGCTGGTGCTACTGGAAGTATGCCTGCCTGAGTGACACTCTCCATAAGGCCCACTAGACGGACCAGAGCATCCTGGAGTACCGGGGTAGCTAACAACCCCTCTAGGACCTGAGCTGGTCTCGCTGGAACGGTCTGGGCCGGAACCTCATCATCAAACTCAACCTGAGGCTCCGCCGCTGGTGCTGCTGCTCTGGGTTGTGCCCTGTCCCTGCCTCGGCCTCGTCCTCTGCCCCTCGTAGGAGCTGCAATCAGGGGCTCGGACTGCTGATCAGCTGATGAAGCGGTACGCGTTCTCGCCATCTGCGAAAGGACAGAGTAGAGAGTTCAATTAGCATTGAGAGATCAAACCGCACGACAGAGATGAATGGAAGTGAAATTGTTCCTAACTTCGTAGCATCTGGGGGATAAGCACAGACGACTCCGTACCGATCCCTCAGACTCTGCCAAGTTTGTCCGTGAATTATGAGACCTAAGCAACCTAGAGCTCTGATACCAACTTGTCACGACCCAAATTTTCCACCGCCGGGACCGTGATGGCGCCTAACATTGTAGTCGCTAGGCAAGCCAACGTTACAGATTATTTCACTTTTTCTTTATCTTTTAGCAATTTATCAGTTAATATAAGTAAATCAGCGGAATCAAATGAAAGAACAGAATTTAACAAGTTATCTTAATACAACTGCGACACCATAATAAAACTCCATCCAGAACTGGTGTCACAATTTCACGGACCATCTACGAATACTACACATAATAGTCTGAATAAAGAAGTACACATCTGTTTCGAAAATAAATAAAACAGAAAAGAAAGGCAGGATAGAAGGGGACGCCAAGGCCTGAGGACGCCTGCAGGACTACCTCGGGTCTCCACTAGTCTGAAGACAGCAACCTCGAACTACGGTCCGTATGGTCCAACACTCGGATCTACACAAAAAGTCCAGAGTGTAGCATTAGTACTACCGACCCCATGTACTGGTAAGTGCCGAGCCTAACCTCGACAAAGTAGTGACGAGGCTACGGCGGGGCATAATAATATATATAACCTGCAACAGTTTATAATAAATAGAAAAAAAGTACGGAATGAAAAATAACCGGAACTTGCATTAAAGGAACACTGGACCCAACCAGTCTACCAGTATTCAACTATAACCAATCCTTAGGGAATTTCAACACCTCAATAATAACTTCAACTGAAATAAATGCCAAAAATATTAACTGATGCGGCATGCATCCCGATACCGCCATATGAATAATAGCAATATCAATATTTCCAAAAGTAACGGTATCAATATTCTCCCTTATTCCTCCTTGTTGCGGCGTGCAACCTGATCCCACATGTCCTCCCTTATTGCTCCTCAACACATATCACCCTTATTCCTCCTGTTGCGGCGCGCAACCCGATCCCACCTGTCCACCGTTATTACTCCTTGTTGTGGCGTGCAACCCGATCCCACCAGACAATCACAAATCTCCCTTATTCCTCCTGTTGCGGCGTGCAACCCGGTCCCAACATATGTATATATCAACACCAATCACAAAGATTAAACACAAGGTGTTTCACAAGTTAACTCAATTTCTACAATTCTTATACTTCAACTACACAATGGAATTTCGCTACGATTATGAAAGTTCACTCATGAAACCAAATCAACGAGACCAACCAACGTGCACCATAAGGCACCAATGAATCCATATAAACCAACGGGATAATAAAATGAAGCTACGAAACCAATATTACCTCAATGGAAATATCAACAACTAACATGAAACAATTAGATAAATCAACGAAGAGAACAACAGTTAACATGAAGCAATTAGACATGGAGCAATTGTGATCAAGTAGCAATTAAGGCATGGAAGCATTTATGATCGAGTAGCAATTAAGGCATGGAAACAGTTTAAGCAGGTAGCAAATAAGACGAGAAATAGTATAATAGGAAACGCGGAAGGGAAACAAACTAAAAACGGAAATTTGGTGGCACATAGGTACACATGAAATTTCATTTAGCACATACGTCGGGGTTTCCTATTCCCTCTAGTCAAGGTTAGACCAAACACTTACCTCAAGCCAACGGACAATTCAACACTCAACCACCGCTTTCCCTCTCGATTCCATCACCAATTCACTCGTATCTAGCCATAATTAATTCAATAACATCAAAAAATGCTAATTAAACCAATTCTAATGCATGAATATGAATTTCCCAATATTTTTTCCAAAAAGTCAAAACCCGACCCTGGGCCCGCTTGGCCAAAACTCGAAGTTCGAACCAAAATCTGATTACCCATTCACCCACGAATTCAAATATGCAATTAGTTTTGGAATTCGACCTCAAATTGAGGTCCAAATCCCCAAAATTCGAAAATCCTAATTTCTACCCAAGAACACCCAATTTCCCATGAAAAACCCTAGATTTTGAAGTGAAATCATGTAAAAATATGAAATACATTGAAGAAAATGAGTTAGAAATCATTTACCTATGATTTGGGGAAGAACTCTCTTCAAGAAAATCACCTATGGGAGTTTAGGGTTTGAAAATTTGAGAAGTGAAGTGAAAATCCCATCCAAATGATGTTTTGATGAGCTGCAGATGTCGCAATTGCGACTGGAGCTTCGCATTTACGAAGCTCGCAATTGCGAGAAAGGCATCGCAAATGCGAACCTTTGCAATCTCTGCTGCCTTCGCATTTGCGACAATTTTGTCGCATTTGTGACTTCTAGCCTACCTGGACAACCTTCGCATTTGCGAAGTATATCTCGCATTTGCGAGAAAAGCTGGCCTGGCCTTTTTCGCATTTGCGTAGCAAAAGCTCGCATTTGCGGTCATTACTCACATCGCAATTGCGGTGCCTGAGGCTGAAACATACCAGTAATCTCCCTAAGTCCAAAATCACTTGGTGGCCTATCCAAAACTCACTCGAGCCCTCGGGGCTCCAAACCAAACATGCACTCAAGTCTAAAAACATCATACGGACTTGTTCGTGCGATCAAATCGCCAAATAATATCTCAAACAATGAATTTAACACCAAAACTCATGAATTTCACAAGATAGTTCAAATTTATATTTTCTCAACTAAGGGTCCGATTTATACCAAACCAACTCCGATTCTTATCAAATTTTACAGATATGACGTAAATATTATATTAAGCCTGTACCGGGCTCCGGAACCAAAATATGGGCCCGATACCATCAAGATTTTACACCATTTTATTTCCAAAAGTCCTTATATTTCCAGCAAACAATTTTCTTTAAAATTCTTTTCTCGAGCTAGGGACCTCGAAATTCGATTCCGGGCATATGCCCAAGTCCAATATTTTTCTACGAAGTGCTCTTTTTCCTTGCTTATCGTTCGTTATTGTTCATCTGGGGACCGTCAAATCACGGGTCCGTTTACCAAAAATGTTGACCAAAGTCAACTTTAATCAATTTTAAAGGCCAAATTTAATATTTTTCTTAAGATTCACATAAAAGCTATCCGGAATCGCACCCGAACTGCGTACACAAATCAAGAAGACATACAAGGCCTCAGAACACGAAAATAGACTCTAAAACAAAAGATGACCTTTTGGTCATCACACATCAAGAGCGTGGTAGCTCGACCCTTGGTGGATGTTCATAGAACAGAAGGCCTCGCCCGTGGCAGATTTGAACAGAGTCTCGCTTTGATGCTAGGTAGATGAGATCCATAGATCTGAATATTCAGAACGACAGTTAACCAAGACATGAAGAAGTGCAATGCAAAAGAACACCTTTTTTCTAGAGGCCTCGGCAGTGGAAGATGAACAACCACAAAGGAATAACTTGAACTTAGAGGAAGTAAAGTAATACTGGCCAATTCCCCGGTATTCATAGAAGACTTCACACTTACCCCTGCTAATTATTTTTCTAATAGTAAGAAAGTCAAATTTGAAAACCAGTATAACAACAGTTCCAATTCCATCTCTTATTGGACAAATTCCTATAAAAATCATGATTCCTATTTACCTGTAATTCACCTATTGAAAGGTGCTGATCAAAGGCTACATTTCCCAACTTGGAATTTACAACTTGTTTTCTCAACCTATATCTCAAACAAAAACTGAAGTAATGGAATACAGGAAAAGAATCTAGAAATGTTATCACCTTGAACAAGAACTAGAATCTAGAAATGTTATCACCTTGAACAAGAACTACATTGACCATAATATACATTACAAGAACTGCACAAGGCAATCTGGTGAATCTGTGTTAAATTTTTAAAACCTACTGAAGACTTCTCAAGAATGCTCAGATCCACTCCTCCACCAACCTGAGAGAAGGTACAAAAGCTCAGTCACATTACACATTTCTTTCGGAATCACACGGAGGGGGAATTTTTCTATCTGTTGAGGGAAATAATCACATCACGCGTTTGGTCAGACAACTTATTTAAAAAATTTTCAGAGCTCATTGCCACCGGGGGCGGCCCTTCCCTAAAGCAGGTAAAGCAACTGCTTTAGGCCTCACATTTGTGGGACCCTATTTATTGTTACACCTAATAGGCTATATATATATTTTAAAAAAAAGTTATATGAAGTGAAAAAGTTTTATTTTTTTCTTTAATAAATAAAGAGAAGAAGATTTGCAACTGCGGGCAAAGATTTGCAACTGCGCGCTATGATTTCTACCAAGAAAATTGCATTTGAAATGAATATCAAACTCTAATTTCGTAAGAAATGTGTGATATATAAGAAGAAACAATTTGATGAGAATGTTGATAATGAAATTTCAAATCTCTCGAAGATTTTTAGAGTAGATTACTTTTTATACTTAGTAGACCTATTTTTTCACTTCAAAATAGATTTGAATAATTCGAAGCATATGACAATATTTTTGGTTTTCTATTTAACGGTAAATAACCGAGATTGCTAGATGATGGAAATTTGAGAAAAAAAATGCCTTGAATGTTCCTAGAAGCATAATAATCAATCTACTATTGATGGTTTAGATTTATTTTCTGAATTAAAAGTGTTAAGGAAAATATTGCAATTAGAAGATAACAGTTTAATAGATATACTCAATCAAATAAAAAGATTTGATTCTTTTCCAAATGCCTATATTGCTTATAGAATAATGTTGATGACCCATGTTACCGTTGCTTCAGCGGAAAGAAGTTTTTCAAAATTAAAATAGACAAAATCTTATCTAAGCTCAACAATGTCTCAAGAGAGATTAAATGGATTAGCTATATTGTCAATTGAGAAAGACTTATTAAGAGAAATTGATTATAAGAACATTATTAATAAATTTGCATCTAAAGAAACGAAAAAAATAGACTTCATAAAAAAAAAGTTAAGGCCCCTCATAAAGTTTAGCTTTAGGCCACAAAATTTATCGGGCCGACCCTGATTGCCACACTAAATTTCCGCACGTTTTGTATGGTAATATCGCCCACAAGAGTTCTAGAGGAAAGAATGTTACCGTTAAAACATATTCATGTACAGCCATTTACCTCATTTGACAGGTTGGTGGTGATGTGAGTCGCTCCATATCAATAGGAATTCAAAAATAAATCTATTCACGCGGGAGGAAGAGGACGTCGGCATGTTGGGCACTCCATCTTTATGTCCATCCATCTTTGTAAACAACCGGAATGAAAGAAATGATCACAAGGCGTCACCTGCAAATCAGTTGGCGCATTATAACCATATGGATTTTCTTTACCATATTTTGACAGGAATCCTACATTATAGCGAGAAAAGTTCAATACAACTTGCATTACCATCCAGTGATTTGCACGTTGAGTAAGATCAATAGCAGTCATGCAAATGACACAGTCAGAGACACGAGCTGCATCTTGGTTAAACCTTCTATAATAGCTATACTTCTCCGGTAAAATCTGCAAGACCTCAACAAAGCTTACGCAAGATAGATCACTGCAAAACTCAATAGATGATTGATGCTTTATCCTAAGAATCATTTTTTTGTCTAGAGCATCTACTTTTGTATACTTCATCAGAAAAGATCGGTCACCGCAAAACTTATTCTTCTCTGTTGTTTTCTTACTTCTAGTAGCATAATTGTTTCATCGAAAATCAACAAATAGAGCAGCATAATACCTGACGAGGAATGAACCACCGAGATCCAAGATAGTGCTGCAAAAGAAGAACTGATGCTTGGAATGCCATGAAAATTCCCAAGCAGATGCACCAATTTTTGCCGGGCTCTATCCGCATAAAATTGTGAGGACAACCAAAGACATATAGTGGGATTGCTAACCGAGTTATAGTCATTCCCAAGATATAATGAGGATGCAATGGTTTTCTCGAGTCACGAACAACATTAGTTACAACTTGAGGTATCCAAAAAGAGTGTAAAAGGAGAAGAAGAGGCCGCAGAAACTTATGGAACTCGTACATGACCAAAATGCCACCTAAAAGGATCCCATCTGCAAAACAATTTTGGAAAATAAAGATAGAGAAATGATATCCTTTTATCCATAGATTGCTAGTACTACCTAGAGTTTAACTGCTTTCTTAGCTTCGGTCTTATTTTTATCTTGTTGCTGTTCCTACTTGTTGCCATTACTTTTTTCATCCGTTCTCCCACCGAGGATCTATTGGAAACAACCTCTCTGCTCTTCCAGGATAGGGGTAAGACTGCGTACATCTTACCCTCCCCATACCCCACTTGCGGGAATCAGTGGTTTTGTTGTTGTTGTAAAGATAGATTACCCTCCCCATACCCCACTTGCGGGAATCAGTGGTTTTGTTGTTGTTGTAAAGATAGAGAAATGAGTGTGTCGTCCATGACAGTTGAAGCAGATCAAGCTGAGGGGGGGGGGGGGGGGTGTAGGAGGGGGGGATTGCTTTAGTGTTTCTCTACCAAATTTGCATGACTTCTTTCTCTTGAGATTTTTGGATGACAAAACGACATAATGCTTCTGCCCTAAGAGAGAGTTGCATTTGTTTTTGGGACAAAATTTCAATTCGTTAGGCCCATGGCACCCATCTGAAGCAAACCATGAACCATGTTGAACGGTGAAGTTCATTCATTGCTTATATTTTCACCCTAGACACTTATTCGTTTACTTAAACCTGTTATGTCAGATCACAAGTCACCAAATTTTGAAGTCTAGCGTGTATTGGACAAATTATTGCAAATCAGAGGTTAAATCCTTCTTCACTAGGTAGAGAAATGCAATAGAACCAGGAATAGTTCACGAATTCAGCTATATGAAGCAGGTAGGATTATATCAAAGAAAGATTTCCCAGATAAACCCAAATGTGTTATTTACTCTTCAACATCTAATTTCCCCTATCAGAAGAATTCATACCTTGCAGCTTGACAAATTAAAGATACAGGCAGATATAGTTGGTGACACAGTTTATTATTTATGCACATGTCCACATTTCAGCAAGGGATACTTACAGAAACGGCTGTACAGAACTGATAGCTCGCGCCTCATTGCTTCCCAACCCTCTCCACTACTCATAGGTCTATTTGCCTTCCATATTGCGAGAAGATATCTCATCTCAAATATTGAGAACACAACAAACTTGAAAAATGCAGCAGTTGCAAAAGCATTGAACAGGGATTCTGTAAAACAGCGAAAGATTAGCAGAGTGCAGAATTGCAGCTAGAAACAACATGAGTTTCTCAGAGAAAATCTTCAACAAGAGTCTATAAGAAGTAATGAACACATTAGGAACGTAAAATTCACTTGAAGTAGCCATACAAACTTCTAAGAGTAGGTAACAGGAAGGCAAAAGCACAACATAGTAATGACTTTTTAAGGCAAAAGCACGACATAGTAATGACTTTTTAAGAAATTACTAACTAGGAAGTGTTTATCTTAAGAGGGATACGTCATTGTTACCACCACTCTACAATTTCAGATAATAAAACCAGCAAAACGTGTTGGTTACAGTGACCTAGATACCAGCTACCCATCTAACTTACCAACAAGTATGCCTGCAGTCAGATGTAGAAGACAAAGATAAGAATCAATTATTCCCTGTTGTCCGATCATCAGAATTGAAACTTTGGAAGCTCCCTAAAAAAGGAACATCAGACATCATTCATTTGATTTAACACACTGAAATAGCAATAAAAAAAGAAAAAGAAATAAGTGAAGACTTGTATCATTGGATGTAATGGAAAGTGGTGGTCTTACTGATTGAGTGTTGCTATATTCCATTTGCCGAATGAGCAGGAGCACTTGAAGAAAAGATACCTAGGGTTTCCATAAGTTAAGGAACCACACAAAGTTTATAGAAAAAATAAGTCAATGACATAACAACTCTTGTAGGATACAAAGGTGACCATCAACGTATAGTTAACTGCTTTGTTGTAGTAAACCTCTATATTGACAGAAGTAGCATTTAATAGCATGGGTGAGAAACAGTCTCCATCGTCATCCACTGAAGGGCTTTCCATCAATCCTTCTAGATGATAATGATCACGATCTACATCTGGAAATGACAAGTAACCCGTGATAAATCACTTGCTTCCTGGTACTTGCTCAAACTACAGGGAGAAATTGGGTGAAAAGAAAGGTATTTAGGATAAATCAAATACCAGTAGCGGAAGATGACACACGAGAAACTTGTGCTGCAATTTCAACATTACAATGTTTCTCCATTTCATAAATAGGTGCTGCACAGACAGAGATAAACATAGTTATAGACAGGAATTTAAAAAATGTAATTGGATCAAGGTTGAGTAAGGATTATTACAATGTTTCCTTTTCCAAATCTTGTCTCGTGGAGACTCCTGGAAGACCTGAGATGAGAAAAGTCCAAGCTGTCCAGGAAAGGTAAGATAAAGAAAGAAATTGTCATTTCATAAATTATTAATGCCACTCAATATTTGTTTAGAATTCACTTGGATGGGATGTAAATCAATTTTTTAATATAATTCCTGAGCTAAAAAAAAAAACATATAGAGGGGTAAAGGTAACCTATCTGGGAGGGGATATGTGAATAATACAAGAAGCTCCCTCTATGAACTACCACTTTAAGAAGCAAAGTTTTCATAAAATGAGTAGTTTCATTTTTAAATAGATAAATGAGAAAAGATTTCCTAAAAAAGTAAACACCATAGAATTTTTGAATTTGCATCCCAATGCCTCAATATTATATAAAAGCAAAGCATGCCATTCATGGCTGCAAACCTTCAAACCGTCAGGTGCCAAAGCATTACAACTTACAAGCTTCAAATATAAAGGAAAATGCATAATGATAATGGAGAAATTTAAAGTAAAACAATTGATTAGCATGGGTAAAACTCACAAGTGCAGACGTCATAAGTTTGTCTATCAAAGCTACTATTCAAAAATTCATCTCAAAGACATAAAATATGGTCATGATTAATACCAAATGATATGGATTTGATAACAGATAATCGTCTTCCTGCCCAAGCTCACCCTCTTTGCCACTGCAAAAAGAAGCATAAATGTCCATTAATGAAGCATTCCAAATAGTATCTCCAGGCTTGTTATGCGAATTGAGAAGACTGAAGCAATTAGGGTTACTTTGTTAAGAAACAGTTAAAAAGTAAATTATATTCCTTCCCTTTACTTCTCTTTACAACAATATTCTTAAGATATGCAATGTCTAACATCTTTCTTGACAATGCTTCACAAAGCCTACTTGAGGCCTAAATCCTTCACCATGCTAAAAACCTAATAAGAGGACCTTTTACTTTCATGCGCATCCATAACCTAATATAACCAAACTCAACCGTTACAAATCCAAGTTGTAATCATCTATTGTCCTATGTGAGATAAACTGTCATGAGCTTTATAAAGACATTTTTCAGATTGTTATCTTTCAATAAGAAAGTGACCAAAGCTTTAAATTATTTAGGGAAAAGGGTCAATTTTGCCCCTCTACTATTGTTTATTGGTTGCTTGTGCCACCCGTTATACTTTTCGGCCATTCTCGTCCCTACCGTTAACAAAGTTTGCAAAATTACCCCTAACCCTAACGTCCCTCCACTGTGGCAGCTGACTCCATCAATTTTATCCATGTCAGCTGCCATGTCATCGACCCCACCAAATTAAAACCCTAACATAAACGACCCCCCCCCCCCCACTCCTCACCTCTCCACCTTCTCTCATCTTCTCTTCCTCACCTCATACCAAAATCGCCGGAAACCATGGCATTTTGCCGGAAAATTTTCAGCGGGCAGAACTAACTCCACGGTACTGGCTCCCCTCTTCGTCTCCTTTCTCCTTCCATTTTCTCTTTCTCTCTTTCACTCATCGATTGCACTGATTCTCTTCTCTTCTTTAATTTCAATGCTATTTATTTCTATTTTCCTCGAATTCTCAAATTATTAAATTTTCCGTTCATCGATTTGGTTGCTTAATCTTGGAATCTCTACCCTATCCCATTATATCACCCACCCTCAATCCTCTAAGAATGTTCTTCTAATCTCTTCTTGCCACATAAAAATACTCATTTGATTGAATTCTTTAGCCGACCTCTCACTACCACCTCTTTCCAATCCCATTCAGAAAAAATAAGAAGCTATAGTCACCGCCAAAAGAGTCACTCTGATATCGGGGTTTGTTCTTTCTTTTGGTTTGTTCTTCATTTTATTCTGTCTGGTTCTTCATTATTTTGTTGTGGATGAGAATGTGAAAAAATGGAGGAGATACGGTGGGGGTTTATGTGAAGAAGGTGGGTCTGTCAATTAATGGCGGTGTTAATGGTGGCTGGTTAGTACCGATTTGGGAGATGTATTTGAAAGGAGACTAAAATCACCATACAAAGAATTTGAAAAAGGTTGAAGAATACCTGATGGGTCTGTCATGTTCTCCAGAAGTTGTTGAAGTTCATTTTATGTTACTTGAATATAATGTTGAGGCTGAAAATTTTTGATTAAATTCTGATTTTGAAGCTTAAGAACAACTTGGTATGCCCAAATCTATGTTTGATGTTCTATACTTTGTTATGCCTATCATTTTTTAAAAGTTCGTAGAATTGTCATTATGATTTTTGATGGGCTTTCTTTAGATAAAAATATTTCAATGAGTGAGTGAACATGTTTATCAAGCTTATTAAAGTAGATTAGTTAAGTGATTTATTCTTTGTTGTTTTAACCAACATCAGTTGGCAGTGATGTTGAGGCAGAGAAGTGATATTACCATTTTCTTGTACTTCTGTTTGTTCTTTCTTATTTGTTAGTTGAATGCTTTTAATTGCTTTCTGACTGCAAAATAGTGCTAGAATCTGTACTTTGTTGAAGTGGGACGATACTTATGGTGTTAAAGTTCAAATCACAATGATGTTTCGATGCCTTGCTAGGTTTGTGTTAGTAACATAAACTGCATTTTAGTGATGACAAATTTTTTGGTCTCTCAAATATGTATGAACTTCCGGCGATTTTAGTGATGACAAATGCCATGGTTTCCGGCGATTTTGGTATGAGGTGAGGGAGAGAAGATGAGAGAAAGGGTGGAGAGGTGAGGAGTGGGGGGGGTCGTTTATGTTAGGGTTTTAATTTGGTGGGGTCGATGACATGGCAGCTGACATGGATAAAATTGATGGAGTCAGCTGCCACAGTGGAGGGACGTTAGGGTTAGGGGTAATTTTGCAAACTTTGTTAACGGTAGGGACGAGAATGGCCGAAAAGTGTAACGGGTGGCACAAGCAACCAATAAACAATAGTAGAGGGGCAATTTTGACCCTTTTCCCAATTAATTATATTAGTTAGGTGCACTTTCAATTTTCAACTATAAATATAAGGACCTTCCTACATCAATTTGTTCCATGGAGCAAGATAGGTGGCCGAACATACTTAGAGAATTTCCTTTCGGCCAAGTAACAAATTTAGTACCTGTAAGCTACCATCCGAAGTTGTTTGAATGGCCATACATATACACCTTCTACTCTAATTTGAGCACCCCCATGTTCATTGTCAAAAACATCATGGAAAATTATTACACCCTGTTGTCGGCAACAATAAATTATAGGAAGATAATGTCATTGAAATAAGTAATTTCATCATAAAAAGTATATTCAGCTCAGGTTACTTGACTTTTCAAGTACTATAACTATCAGGTTATACATCCCAAAAAATAGCAACCAGAGTAAGCACATCACACTATTCACTATCAGGTTCTGATTGTCGAGCTTACAACATAAGCTAATTCCATGGTTCACAAATTCGCAAGTGCCAAACAAAACTATTTTTTAGACTTCAGAAAACAGCATGTTCGAAGAGTACACAGTACCAGAATGCTAGGGAAACCGAACAGCGTCAGAAAAGTATCATCATAAAACCACCACAACTAAAGACCATGAACAGTAGCATTACAAATATGGAAGATGCACTGCTTGTAATTTTAGTAGGGATGTTAATAAACTATGGTTGTGCTGAAATCTAATATCTAACGGAAGTACAAGATTGAATTTGGAGTAAATGACATAGGCTCTAGGAGAATCATGACATGAGCAATCTTCTATAAATGGAATTTTCAGTTATTTCCAAAACCCAGACTAACATGGAGTAGACACTTCAAAGCTACAGGCATACAGCATCAATGACACATTATGCTTGGACGCCCCCATTCTTTGTCAGAAAAGAAAATATGCAACATAAACAATCATGTCATGCAATTCCTTGTACAAGACTTTCTTTTCTGAGATAAAAAGACAAACGAAGGTGTTGTACTTCATCCAATTCAGTCAAGTAAGTATTAATTCCCTTTTAGCGACACGTTATAGTCCAGTAACCATCATCTGATTTGCAAGTACAGAGATACAATACATTTTTTCATTTTTCTTTCTTTTTTATTCAGGAGACAAGTAATTTTGTGAAAAATGACACCGAGTTAACACAATATTTGGTAAAGAGACTGGTATTTCTGATGGAAGGACTACCTGAACATAATGTACACCAGTTATTTTTGTTGGGGCACTAATCAATTCCAGGACAGAGTTTCCATTGGACTTCTGAAAATCAGGAAATCGAGAAGAGCTATTCTTTGAATCTAGGAACCTCCAAGATCCTGAAGCTCAAATTTCAGAAGAAAATATCATTAGATTCAAGACGATAGTAGCAAGGGAAGTTCATTTACTGAAGGAAGAAAGATTATCTTCCTTCATTTTCTTTGAAATGAGTTATGCTCAATTGATAGCATCACTTTTAACTTCTTAGCCTAGTCTGTTTGACAAGACAAATGAGGTACTTTCACTATCTTAACAAGACACTACTCATCAGAATACGTAAAGGAAGAACATAGAAAGAATATTCTCCTAACAAATGCAACATAAGCATGCACCAGAAAGCAAGTTTACAGTTTACAAACCTCTGTATGTTCCTGTTATATTCCAAGCAGAAAATGGCCCCAACTCATTGTCATTCTTCTTTGCAAATAGCCACTGCTACCAAAAACAAAAAGAATTTGATTAAAGACTAGGCAGGAAAAACAAGCAGCCATACTATGGCCATAGTCACTTTCTTTCTCTTTGTTTATTATTTTGATGACTGAGAAATTTATTCTTTCAGCTCCAAAACTCAATGGACAATAGGCCCACCCCTTTACCCTTCTCCTTTTAAAACTAGATTTGGTTCAGCATCCAGGTTTTGAATTCGTGACGTGCACCTATACATATCCTGTGTTATACAAACTTTGTCGTTGAATAGAAACCCTGAAGCACTACGGTCCTAGTCAGTTTTAGTAGTAATGCCATGAACCCTCATGTTACCTATGCATGAGAAGACATCCTCTCCAGGATTCAATATGCGTAATTTGTAAATGAGCTCCAATGATCCTATATTGAGAATAGAATTTTCATGCTGAACCTGTATCGTAAAGGAAGCTAAATATAGCCAGCTAATAATGTCAATTTATACTTTTCCACTCTATTTGGCATCCTACTTACCAAGAGTTACTTACTTTATAACTCATTAACAAGATAGATCAGGACCATCAGGTCATTCCATCCTACAGTGAGAGGCCAAGACATTCCTTTCTTTTATCTGGTAGGGGTGATTCACTCTTAAATATATACTAGGAGCAGATTGTTTGTTGTTTATCTCACATAACTTTTGGCTCCTCGAATCTCGTCATTGTCTTAACATGGATACCATGTCGATTACTTGGTTTCAACAAGGGTTAGACAAACTAGTATTTGCGAGAGCTTTAAAGTTGAAAGTAAATAGTAACAGTATTTTTGGATATTTGACAAGTAAATGGTAAGAGTCCTAGGAAGATCTCCAACAAGCAATTGCTGCTTCTAGGAGAGCCTTTTCTTATGAAGGTGGTGTCCGGGCCAACGTCAGCTATTCCACTGGGTACCTGCTACCTCCCACTGGGTAACTCTGCCCACTAAACTCAGAATCTGCTAGGTATTGCTTAAAAAAGAACCTTGGCAAAAATTCATGGTATTCAATGCCAGAAAATCACTACGGCTTCAAAATAAACCCCTTGTGAAATTCTTCAAATATTAACCTAAGGGATATGGATTACATTAGCAAGACTCACATGTTGCAAGTCTTCCAGATTGAGTTCCTCTCACAAGCCAATTTTTGAGGCACCTTGGCTGCAGCTAGACATGTTATATCCTTAGGTCCATAGCCCCTTCTATGTGACATGCACTAAAGAAGTGACTACTGTTATATTCTTTGAAAATTAACAACAACCAGATATATGCATTGGTGCTATTGTCAGGTGTTTCTCAACTAAACTAAAGTAACTATCAGACAGGAGATCTTTTGTCCTTTCTCATTTCACCTCTTATTATTATGTGATTTGCCAAGAATGTTCGAGTCCAACTCCTATTGCTATATGACTCCTAGGTCTAGTACAGTGATACAGATTCAAGAGTCTAATTTCCACCTATAGATCACGGATTTCTGGAAAATGGTGTCACCCTATAACTTATAAGTCCAAAAGTCTGGTAAAATTAGTCTGAAAAAAAGAGTAAAATTAGCTCCAAATGATCATACAAAAGATAGATAACCCATGATAATATTTATTTTGACCTCAAATACACCGAAATGACCTTCTATTAATATGGCAAGATGTAGCACCACCATCTTTTTCCTTTTTAATTTTACCGTCATTTCTTTATCGTTAATTTTTCCATCAATTTTGATCCGCATCTTGGCTGCAGAAGTGCCATGACCCGTGATGCCTGCTGAGCTAGGATCAAAGTAGATCAACTGTAAATATCCTTTACTTTCATTAGTTACCTCAATAAATTGAAACTTTGAACTTAAACCACATTATATCAGTTACATCCCGGGTATATGCAGACCATTATGATATTATGCAAACTAAAACAAACACTGCATGCCTGTAAAACCTGACCGGAGTCTCTATTCTCTCTTTCCTAGCAATCAGCTCACCAGGAACCCCTTTGACTTCAAGCTAAGCTAGGGTCTAAACATGTGACCAGGTCACATTTATCATAAACCCACCACAAACACCAAAAATTAAAACTTTTTTGCAAATTCAATTGAAATCTCCGAATTGCACAAGTCAAATGCGTCAAACACCACAAGAATGCTCTCGTTTCAGGCAGCACACGGGAAAGCTAAAATCACTTTCTTCTTTTTTTCTTTTCTCCAACAGAGCTGAGAACATCAATTTCCATAACCATATAAACATCAGTCAAGAGAAGTAAAAAACAAACATGAAAAAGAGGAACAATCATATAACTTAAGGACTTTATAGTACAATCATAGAGTTAAAAATTCTTCCATTTAAGCAAACACCAAGCTTTTGACTTCATAACTTAAGCACCACTTAATTGAGAAAAGTTTCCATTTTTATTAAAGTTGCCTTAACTGGGAACGGGAACCAAAAAAAAATAACAGATATGAAATAACTGTAAGTTACTAACCTCATCACTCCACGAACGAGACCTTTCTCTTAGAGGCCTGAGTCCCTTTACTGAGCAAAACCCTCCAAAGAAGAACCATAAATAGAACAGAATTCTTAAAAAGATCAATTTTTTTGTGGCACCCATTTCAAGATCAGTTCCAATTATTGTCCTTTAAGCAATTCTTGATAAACCCAGATGAAGAAATGAAGCCCATTACAGTTTGAAAGAAGAGATACTATTTAAGAAGAGGTGGGCTGCTTCAAGTGAAGTCAAAAAAACCAAGAAAACTAACGACCCAACAACAAGCACAAAGATACCGAGCAATTTTTCAGAAGAAAAGGAGAGCTCAACGGCTAATCTACAACCTAAATAGAATCATTTGGTGGTTGATTATTTTGGTTACAACAAAAAGGACCTTCACCGGTCAATTCCCGAACAAGAAAATAGAATACCCCAACTAGTACTGTGTTTTTTTTTTTATAATTAAAAAAAATCAACTACTAACAGTTATCGGTACAACATTAATTATAATATTCTGTTTGTTAAGTAGGTTCTAAACAGCTATACAGATATTTGATGAGGGTGATGAAGAGGTGGAGCGAGTGTTATTCTCCATTCGATAACAAGTTCAATTTATGTGACAATGATATAAAATTTTCAGAAAAAAATTACTTTTAAAATTAAAATAAATTATAAATATTTGACTGATTATAAATTTATTTATTAACAATTGTTATTTTTTTTAAAAATATAAAAAAGTTACATTTTATAGTGTTCGTCTTACTTTCTAGGCAAAATGGAAGTCTTATTAGGAAAGACGAAAGAGGTGTACGTGACATGCCGGCATTCAAGAAACTGTGTAACTAAATTTATCTACTCCTATGCTTGTATAGCTGCTGTAGATTATATAATCTCAGTTAGCCATAATATTTAGTACTTGTAAACTTCAATACATGTAAATACTGGTGAAATATTGAAAACATTTCAAATAAGATGATGAATTTTATCCACAATTTTTAAATTTTCATTTTATTCGGATAAAGTTCATGTACAATACAACTTAAACTTGCGAATACTCTCTTTTTACTTAAATATAAATATTATTTTGTCTACATCAACGTTTTTAAACTTGTAAGGTTATCACAGTATGACCTATAGTTACGGGTTCGAGCCGTAAAAACAGCCACTAATGCTTGTGTTCGAATAGGTTGTCTATGTCGTACCCTTGAAATTCGACTGTCCTTTTTATTTTTATTTTCCTGCGTAAATCAAATAATATTACCTAAACACCTAAGTTTTATTCTAATACGATGTAAACATCGGTGTAATTAAATTTATTTTTCCATTGACAATAGATAACGTTGACTCTAGATGAATTATAATTGAGCTGTCATATAAGAAATATGATTAAAGTCTGTCTCTATATCTCTTTTTGTACTTCTGGAGCCAGCTCGACCTTTCGAATGAACCTACTTGTATATTTAGGCCTTTTATTTGGACTGCCTCAAACTACTAATGAGCCACGTCGATGGTCATAAGTTATTTTTTATTTTTCCTTCTTACATTTTCCCCCTGTTCTCAGATTTTTTTTTAATAAAAAGACAGTATAATATGAGAACCTTTCTGTGAGAGCAGAACGTGCAGAGCAGAATAATAGCTTGTTTAATCAAAGTTTTTATGGCCAAGAGTATTTTTTTCCGTTTAAAAGTGCTTTTCCCCCCGAAGATAAGGTATTTGCTAAGTTTTAGAAGGAAAAAAGTATTTTTGGGTAGAAGTTGAAGTCGTTTTTGTCAGGAAAATCAGTAGATAATATTGACTAAGAACAACAAGGAAAGAAGACTACAACTTATCAAAAATACTGTGTCGTGGCAAGCCACTGCCTTGAAAGCGATTTCGGCCCGACTGGGTACAAATCGTTAAGGCCGGTCGCTCCCCAAGGTTCCAGAGCACCTCCAAACACGTGCACTCGTGGCTGGAAGTTTAGAATTTGCACAAAACAGTTGTCCAGGAAGAAGGGAAGATGAAGGTATTTTATGTGTTGGATAATTCACAAAGAAGACTAGGAAGAAAGGAATGATTAGCTAGATGTATTCTTGGTTAAGAATTGAGTGATTATGATGGCTAATTCATAACCTATTTATAGGAAATTAAGGAGGTTGCATGTATGACAAGTGTCTAGAGACTTTTGACACTTGTCCCATTATGTTAGTCCACTTGGCTCCAATATTGACAAGTGTATCTTGTCTTCCATGCATGAAGACATTTGACTCCAATATTGACAAGTGTATCTTGTCTTCCATGCATGAAGACATATGGTAGATTTGCATAGCCATTTGACAAAGCCATTCAACACTTGGCTTTAAGACTTCATGCAATAGGCCACTTGGAAATAGATAGGACATTTGAAAAATAAAAAACTCATGGCTATTGGTTGTCAATGGAATTTCAAAAAGAAATTTTTGATTTTGCATTATGAATAATTCCAACAATCCCCCACTAATGCAAAGACAAAAATAGAACAATTCTGGGCAAAAGAAGGAACATGTACTTAAGTGTCAATATCTTTCTATTTGAATTGACACGTAGTGAAATGAGGCAACAACTAACATCCATAAAGTGAAGTACTCTTGAACTGAATGGACATTAGCTGAGACCCCCACAACACATACTATATCCTTAATTTTATGCAAATTCTGTGATACTAACAAAGTGCTTTTATGGTCATGCACATACCTTGGATCTCATGAGTGCTCTAGAAAGGCATCCCAAGTCTTTCATAAAAGGCGACCGCACCTTTACACTCACGTAGGTGATTCCATCAAGTCTATCTACACATAGACTACCTTAAGGTTATGGAATCATTATGAGCACAATAAGCTCAACCTTATAAAGCACTACCACACACCATAGGGATAGGAAATGTAGTGCATATTGAGGTCTCATATGGCTTCGTTTGACCAGAAACGGATATCTACCATACTTCCTCAATCCATGGGCTTTAGCCCCATCCCCCTTGACGTTTCAAGGATAACTCTCCTTGCCAAACCCTTGGTTAAAGGAGCCGCCAAATTTCTTTCGGAACTTACATATTCCAAGGAAATAACACCATATTTCAACAACTATTTTACCGCACCATACCTAATGCGGATATGTCTTCTTTTTTTATTGTACACACTATTTTTGGCAATTTCAATTGCTGCCTGTGAGTCACAATGTAGAGAAACTGGTGAAGCTTGTCTTCCCCACAAAGGCACGTCTGCCAATAAGTTTCTCAGAGCAATGAATTCAGACTCCATAGTAGACCGTGCTATACAAGTCTGTTTTGAAGACTTCCATGAAATAGTACTTGCACCCAAAGTGAACACATAGCCACTAGTGGAGCTAACTTCATCATTGTCAGTAACCTAGTTTGCATCACAAAATCCTTCTAAAATAGCAGGAAATTTATTAAAATGCAAACATCAATCCATAGTACCTCTCAAATATCTTAGCAAATGATGAAGAGCATTCCAGTGTTCACTACTAGGGTTGTGAGTATATCTACTCAATCTACTAACAGCATAAGCAATATCAGATCGTGTATAATTCATGAGAAACATTACACTACCAATTATCTTAGCATACTCAGTTTGAGAAATACTAGATTCCTTATTCTTTTTCAAGTGTATGCTAGGATCATAAGGAGTTCTCACATGTGCTACATCAAAACAATTAAACCTCTTCAACATTTTCTCAATATAATGAGACTGAGACAATGAAAAACAATTAGAAGTTCTTTCGATTTTAACCCCTAAAATCACATCTGCTTCTCCAAGATCTTTCATTTTAAATTTAGAAGACAAAAAATTCTTAGTCTCATTAACAACATTCACATTAGGGCCAAAGATTAACATGTCATCCACATACAAACATATAACAACACAATCTGATCCTATCATCTTCGAATAAACACAAGTATCAGATGCATTAACAACAAAACCATTATCCACTAATGTGCTATTAAAATTTTCATACCATTGCTTAGGTGCCTGCTTTAGACCATACAAAGACTTTCTCAATTTGCATACTTTATTCTCCTGTCCTTGGATCATAAATCCCTCAGGTTGAGACATATAGATCTCTTCCTCTAAATCACCATTTAGGAAAGCTGCTTTAACATCCATTTGATGTATTGCCAAATTATGAATAGCGGCTACAGCAACAAGAGTTCTAATAGTCGTTATCTTAGTCACAGGAGAATAAGTGTCAAAGTAATCAATGTCTTTCTTTTGATTAAAACCCCTAATAACAAGTCTAGCCTTATATTTCTCAATTGTATCGTCAGGTCTCAACTTCTTCTTAAATATCCACTTGCTACTTATGGGTTTACAACCTTTAGGCAAATCAGACAAGTCCCAAGTATGATTAGAAACTATAGAGTCTAATTCACTTTTAATGGCCTCTTTTCAAAAACTAGCATCTATTGACCTCATTGCTTCACTATATGTCTTAGGGTCTTCTTCTATTAAATAGATTAATACTAATTCATCACTCAAAACATCAAAATCAATATTTTCAGTCAAGAAAGTAGTAATAAAGTCAGGACCAAAGCTAGCTTCAATTCTACGCCTCTTGCTTCTTCTAAGGTTATTTTCATGCTCATTAGCAGTAACACTAGAAGAAGGCACAATATGAGAATTAACATGCATAAATGTAGAAGCATTATTAGTCACATCACTAGGCACATTATTTTTCAATGGAAAAACATGCTCAAAAAATTCTGCATCTCTAGATTCACAAATAAAACTATCATTCAAAGACATAAATCTATATGCAGCACTATTTTGAGCATAACTAATGAAAATAGCATTAAAAGTCGTAGGTTCAACAGTTACTTGTTTAAAATCAGGTAGACCAACCTTAGCCAAACACCCCCACACTTTCAAAAATTTTAAGTTAGGGGCAAACCCTTTCCATAACTCATATGGAGTTTTATCTAACTTCTTATGAGGGACTTTATTAAGAACATAACATGCAGATAAAACAGCTTCCCCCCACATATTATCAGATAAACCCGAACTCAAAAGCATAGAATTCATCATTTCCTTAAGGGTTCTATTTTTCCGTTCGGCTACACCATTTTGTTGGGGAGTACAGGGAGCACTAATCTCATGTATAATACCATTTTCCTCACAAAAGGCTTCTAGAGTATTAGTACTATATTCACCACCCCTGTCAGACCTAAGTCTCTTGATTTTTCTATCTAATTGATTCTCTACTTCTGCCTTGTATTTTAAAAACATGCTTTCAGCTTCATCTTTTGGCTTAAGAAGATATACCTTAGTGTATCTAGAAAAGTCATCTACAAAGGTGATGTAGTATTTCTTTCCACCTTAACTAACAGTGTTTTTGAAATCTGCTAAGTCTGAATGTACTAGTTCAAGCAATTCTGTTTTTCTACTGGTTACATTCGAAAAAGGTTTT